ATCGATGGCAATTGAGTTTCGAAAATTGCTATGCTTACGAAAATGGTAATTTATATTGTAACCGAATAAAATTATATTGTAACCAAAATATCGATATATGCTAAAATTAACTTAGATCACTTAAACCTGAAGGTCCGTTGTTTTTAATTTCGATTGTATTTATCGATAGAATTTCTCATTAAGTGCCTGAAAATAATACTTTTATGGAAAAAATATATTTTCACTTAGTGCACGATGTTCTGACTGTAAAGAACAAAAAGGAATCAAGTTACTTAATGAAATTCTTATTCTCTAAGTAAAATTAAAGTAGAACGCCAAAATTAATTATCTGGTACTTAATAATTTCTTTCACTGGAAAGATTGATCAGGTGGTTAATAAAACTAACTGAGATAAGTTTAACTCACATTCTATGTACTTGTAAGTTAGTGTTTTGTTTAACTATAATAGTGTTCAAGAAGTTACTATGTTCGTCGTGGTTTCCGTTTTTTTAATTATTTTTTTAATGCCTTATATCAAATTCTGGAATGGAAAAGGATACCAGCAATATTTGTTCAATATATTAAAAATGTATACCAGAAAGGTTATACTCGAATAACCCATAGCAAACAATGGTCCGAACCCATAATTTGTAAAAGAGGAATCAGACAATGGGTCACTCTATCACCGTGCTCCTTCAACATGGTCCTAGACTGGGTCATTCAATCTTTACCAGAGGGTATTGATTACAAAATGACTGGTACGGTGTTGAATTGTCTGGCCTTTGTAGACCGACATCATTATGATTTCATCCAGCTCGAACGGATTGTAGAAATTACTGACAAGGACAAGCGCATCGATTCACGAGCTTCGTATGAATATTAATCCTAACAAATGTTTCAATTTGTCACTGATTAAGGTCGTTAGGTCGAACAAAATGAAAGTGGAGGATAGACCTATGTTTGCCATAAATAATACTCATCTTAGGATCCTGGGTATCAAAGATGGATGGGCATATTTGGGAGCAAAATTCAAAGCCAATTACTATAATTCAGTCAGCATAGCAAACGAATTTTCGTCTGCCTTGCAAAGGATTAGGAAAGCCCCATCGAAGCCCCAACAAAGACTGATTACTTTGCGAAAGTACCTCATCCCAAGGTTTATCCACGTGCCTCACCTTAAGTATGTATAAGGTTTCTGAGTTGGAGAAACTCAACATTCTGCGAGGTCAGCAGTTCGAGAATGGTTCGAGAATGGCTACGCCAGATTACTCCCACCCCTTATTTTCACACATCGCGTTCCAGTGGTGAGCTGGGAATAACGAACTATTTCCTAACTATTCCTCACTTACTCGAAAGGCTACGAAGAATGAAATTTTCCGGATGCCAAGCCGTGAGGGCTGTTTTTGGCTCCTCCTACGTCGCTCAATTAATAGAAAAAATGTCTATCTATCTTACAAAAAAGGGACAAATCCTGAAAACACCTGCAATCAAGAGCGGAAGCAATTTTGAGCCATGAAAGTTTATGAGAGTGTCGATGGGAAAGCTCTTAAGGAAGCCTGTCTCTGCAGCCCTTCAACGCACTGGGTCCGGACTTCATTCAAAACGTGAAGGCCCACATAAACGCGTCCCCAAAGAGAGTTAGAAAGTCCAAAGGAAGAATAGCCTACATGGAGACCAGATGCCGAGGAGGATGGCCTACCAACGAGACTGCAAGTCATGTATGTCATGTCCAAACATGCAACCTGACCCATGGCGGGAGGGTGAAACGACACGATGCTGTCGTAAATATGTTAGAGCCCTCTTTAAGTCCTATTAAGTGTAATGAGACCAACAATAATACATATATAATATAATATTATTTGATTTTTTTCATAAAGCATGGTTATATTTTACCATTTTGGAAATGAGTTTCAGCCAGAAAGTTCTCTCCTCCGTAGATCCTTATGTGCTCCGAACAGTACTTTTTAATGCTTCCTTCTATTATTTTTTTTTTCTTTTTCATAGTAACACTAAGCTGCAGGAGTTTATTTGCAAAAGTTTACATACACCATGCGAATTTGTATATTATAATTATGAATGTTATACTTACATTTTATCTATAGTATTGCTTTTTTTAAAAAATAAAAATTAAACAAACAACATGAAAAACAATTAAAACGCAAAACACAAGATAGAACTTAGATTAGAAAGAAATTTTCTATCAAGTTTTTTTTATTTAATGATATGAACAGACTTGAAGAGGTACTGTCCAGTGGTAGCACTCCCTATTTAATTCTAGATAAGAACATCGAGAGGCCATCTTCTTCGATAGGAATTCGATGGTTTGGAAGAGCCCCAAAGCTCAACTCCGTATGTCCATATATGTCTTATTATAGTTATGTAGATAAGTCTTTTGTAATTAATTGAAAGTTTAGAGCGGTTGTCTAGTAAGTGTTGGAGCAGTCGGAAACGTCGAGCAGTTTCTTGACGTCTCAGTCTAGTATGCGGATTCCAAGTGAGACGTTTATCCAAGTGGAGTCCT